TCTGTACTCTTTTTTATTTGTTAATGGCACTTAATGCCTCGTTCTATTTTATTTTTATACTAGTTGAAGCCTGGCGCATCCGCCACGACATCAGGAAAAAAAAATACTTTTTATTTTTTGTTTAATTAAATGAAAATAAACAAAAAATCCGGCGACGACATTTTTTAGAAGAGCCAATTAGCTATCTTTTAGTAAAAAAGCAACTTTCTAGAGCAAGTCGTTACTTAAGTAGAGACGACACAGATAAACATTAACATTTTATATACCGGGTGCGTCTCAAAAGTGGCTCACGACCTCTATAACTTTTTTATTTTTTCAGTTAAAAAAAAGGGATTTGGTATGTTAGTATATGACATAAATTAGGATTGATTGACGTATTCAATTGTTTTGGTCACTTCCTGTTTCACCGGAAATGACTACAACTTTTTATTTTTAAATGACTCCTTAGGTATATTTTTACTTTATTCGATATAAAATAACACTCTCAATAGAATGACATATCATATGTCAACTTTTGACATTTTCGCGTATGGTTTATTTGAAATTATAACTTGCGGTTCGTAACGAAAATTTGACTTGAAATACCAAGTGTGTGGTATCAAATTATTCGTAAAAAAAATGCTTTTTCCAGATATTCTAATGAGCCACCCTTGTCCCATTTGAAAAAATTGAGATATGATTAAAAATACGATTTGGGCATCTTTTAGCCGACCAGGACAAGATACTAAAAACATTAGACGATCAAATCTATTTTTTCAAGGCTCCTTGATTAAGAATTAGTATTCTTAACATAACCATGGCACTCTATATTGAAATTTAAAATACTATTTTTTATTAAGCGAGAATGTCAAAAGTTGACATATGATATGTCATTCAATTCAGAATATCATTTTCTATCGAATAAAGTAAAAAAATACCAAGGGTGCTACAACATTTGAATGAACAGTGCTTTCCATAAAATCAATAAAATGATAAATATAGGAAATAATATACAGGTACTGATTTCTTTCGAAAATCGACAACTATGAAACTATAAACCCTTCCTGGACACAAAGGTACATTGTGAGACAGGAAATTGTAGAGAAACAAGCCCTATAACATAGGATACAACATTTTAAAGAACAGTGCTTTCCATAAAATCAATAAAATGAAAAATATAGGAAATAATATACAGGTACCAAAGAATATCTTCAGGTACTGATTTCTTTCGAAAATCGACAACTATGAAACTATGAACCCTTCCTGGACACAAACGGTACATTGTGAGACAGGAAATTATAGAGAGAAACAAGCCCTATAACATAGGGTACAACATTTTAATGAACAGTGTTTTCCATAAAATCAATAAAATGAAAAATATAGGAAATAATATACAGGTATTGATTTCTTTCGAAAATCGACAACTATAAAACTATGAACCCTTCCTGGATACAAACGGTACATTGTGAGACAGGAAATTATAGAGAGAAACAAGCCCTATAACATAGGATACAACCTTTTAATGAATAGTGCTTTCCATAAAATCAATAAAATGAAATATAGGAAATAATATACAGGTACTGTTTTCTTTCGAAAATCGACAATTATGAAACTATGAACCCTTCCTGGACACAAACGGCACATTGTGAGACAGGAAATTGTACAGAGAAACAAGCCCTATAACATAGGGTACAACATTTTAATGAACAGTGTTTTCCATAAAATCAATAAAATGAAAAATATAGGAAATAATATACAGGTACTGATTCAAGACGAGAAACAAGAAATCAATACCTGTATGATTTCTTTCGAAAATCGACAACTATGAAACTATGAACCCTTCCTGAATACAAACGGTACATTGTGGAGACAGGAAATTCTAGAGAGAAACGAGCCCTACAACATAGGATACAACATTTTAATGAACAGTGCTTTCCATAAAATCAATAAAATGAAAAATATAGGAAATAATATACAGGTACTGTTTTCTTTCGAAAATCGACAACTATGAAACTATGAACCCTTCCTGGACACAAACGGCACATTGTGAGACAGGAAATTGTAGAGAGAAACAAGCCCTATAACATAGGGTACAACATTTTAATGAACAGTGTTTTCCATAAAATCAATAAAATGAAAAATATAGGAAATAATATACAGGTACTGATTTATTTCGAAAATCGACAACTATGAAACTATGAACCCTTCCTGGATACAAACACGGTACATTGTGAGACAGGAAATTATAGAGAGAAACAAGCCCTATAACATAGGGTACAACATTTTAATGAACAGTGTTTTCCATAAAATCAATAAAATGAAAAATATAGGAAATAATACATGTGATCGAGAAAAAACGGCGTCAGCGTTGGCTATGAAATGAAGATCGCTGTCATTTTATATGTAAATTTATATGGGAAATGTCATCGATCGTCATTTCCCAGCCAACTGGACGCCGTTTTTTTTCGATCATACGGTATATAAGTACTGATTTCTTTCGAAAATCGACAACTATGAAACTATGAACCCTTCCTGGACACAAACGGTACATTGTGAGACAGGAAATTATAGAGAGAAACAAGCTCTATAACATAGGATACAACATTTTAATGAACAGTGCTTTCCATAAAATCAATAAAATGAAAAATATAGAAAATAATATAGAGGTACTGATTTCTTTCGAAAATCGACAACTATGAAACTATGAACCCTTCCTGGACACAAACGGTATATTGTGAGACAGGAAATTTACAAAAATACATTTAAAAATCAAAAGTTGTAGTGATTTCCAGTGAAACAGGAAGTGACCAAAAACAATTGATAACGTCAATCAATCCCAATTTATGTCATATACTAACATACCAAATCTGTTTTTTTTACCTGCAAAAATAAAATGTTATAGAGGTGAGCCACTTTTGAGACGCACCCGGTATATAGATTTAGTAAAAATGATTTTAAATGGTGTAATTTAAAATTCAAGAAAAAATATTTTTTTTGAAAAAACATATGTGTGTCTGAAAACGTCCTATCGTTTTTTAATCTTTCTATAATTAGTGCTAATTTTTGATTTTTATTTGAATTGTGTATGTAAATTATATCTAGATATTGACCTCGCGAAAATTACCATCGATTGTGATTTCCTAGCCGTCTTTGACGCCGTTTTTTTCGATCGTCCGGTATTATTTTACAGCGAAAAGTATTATTTTATGATGTTTTTGGGGAAGTTTTTTCCCATATTGTTTTTTAAAAGTAATATAAGGGTAATATCAAATTCAGTTAAAAAATATCCTTTTTCTATGATAGAAGAAAATTACACTGGAGGAATCAAGAAAAGCATGTTGGATGAAATGGAACAGGACCAAAAATATTACGAAAAAATGACTAAGAAGGACAGCAATAGAAAAAAATATTATACAGGAAGATCGACCAAAGAACAAGCTGATTTCTGGTGACAAGAAAGATTTGCTTCATGATCATTTGAAGGCATTTATTGGCAAAACCAGAAAAGGAAACATGAGAAAAGCGGATATGAAACTAAACCAGGTACTATATGTATAGGTACTTAATCATCAACATAGGTATTCTACACTGCTTTGAAAAACTTCGTTAAATAGCAAATAAATCTTTTAGTTGGATATTTATTAAGATGCAAGAAACGCAACGGAAACATTTTTGATCTAGTTTAAAATGTTATATTTCTTTCCTTGATTTTTTTTAGCAAACGGTATCTAGGTATAAATCTATCAACTTTAAATCATAATATAAGTTTATAATAAACGAGTTTACGTATTAAAGTTGATGTATTTATATACAGTTTGCTAACAAATGAAGGAAATAGAGATAAAAATAAAAAAATATAACATTTTAAACTATGTAGATCAAAAATTTCTAAGTTGTGTTTTTTTGCCATGTGAGTGTAGTTATCATTCGTTATCTCAAGTCTACTCCAGATGTAAAATAAAATTATTAATCTATATTTAATATTTACTATTAAAATTTAATATTTCAACTTAAAAATGCATTTTTAGCCTTTGTTCGTTGACTATTTTTGATTTTTCATCATTAAAGTATAGTTTCAAGTAAATCTATTACTACGTTGAATAAATAGCAGATTGCACTAACTTTCCGTAAGTCTTCGGTAGTATAGTGGTAAGTATCCCCGCCTGTCACGCGGGAGACCCGGGTTCGATTCCCGGCCGGAGAGTAACTTTTTTATATTTTTTAATCAAAAATAAATATTTATACCTAATCGCATACCTCGCATTTATAATTCCTATTGCATTTAACTAGGGAAAAAGATAGAAGGAAATTTTTTTTTTAAATCACAACGGTTCCATATTTCATTCATCCTTTTAAAGCAAAATAAAACACTAAATCACCACAATACACCAAAACACTTATAATTTTACACTGGACGCGCGTTTCCCTAACCATGTTAGCATCATCAGCAGATGATTATAAACACAGTTTATAATCATCGTTATAATCGTGATTTAGTGGTTTTATTTTGCTGTGTAACACCAAAGGTTCCAACCCTCAACTATAATATTCATCCTTTTGTTCTATATTTTATTTATTCGTTCCTTTGTTGACTCATTTCCTTCGTTTCGTTTATTTCAGCCATTTTATTCGCTTCGTTAATTTTGTTTATTTCGTTTATCTAATTATTATTATTAATTATGAGCTTATTTCGTTTATATCGTTTATTTCCTGTATTTTCTTTATTTCGTTTGTTTCGTTTATTTTTTTTTATTTAATTTTTTTTTCTTTGAATTTATTTCCTTTATTTCTTTTACTTCCTTTACTTCCTTTATTTCCATTATTTTATTTATTTCCTTTATTTCCTTTATTTCCTTTATTTCCTTTATTTCTTCTATTTCCTTTATTTCCTTTATTTCCTTTATTTCCTTTATTTCCTTTATTTCCTTTATTTCCTTTATTTCCTTTATATCCTTTATTTTCTTTATTTCCTTTATTTTCTTCATTTCCTTTATTTCCTTTATTTCCTTTATTTCCTTTATTTCCTTTATTTCCTTTATTTCCTTTATTTCCTTTATTTCCTTTATTTCCTTTATGTCCGTTATGTTCTTTATGCCCGTTATGTCCTTTATTTATTATATTTCCTTTGTTTATATACGTTGTTTCCTTTGTTTTCTTTGTTTCCATTAATTCCTTTATTTCTGTAATTTTTACATTTTGTTTGTCTCATTTATTTTGCCAATTCCATTCATTTTAGCCAAAATTAAAAACTTTTTTGTTCATTTAGTTTATTTCGTTTATTTCGTTCATTACGTTCATTTTTCTCATTCCTTTAATTTCGTTCATTTTGTAAATTCTATTGATTTTAGTCATTTTGGTCATTTTGTTATTTTTCATTTCTCTTATTTCGTTTAATTCGTTCATGTCAGCCATTTCATTTCTTTAATTTCGTTCCTTTTTTCATTTCATTCACCTATTTTATCTCGTTTATTTCTTTAATTTCTCCCATTTGGTTTTACTTCCATTATTTCGAATATTTTTGATATACTAGTTTCACAAAAAGTAGCTCTAAAGCACGAGGTAATATGTTTCATAGTAAGAAAGAAAATCCTCAATTGCAACCGAAATGCAACACCCTAACTTATCTTAAAAGTAAAGGACTTCAACAAATTGAACAATATTTTTTTTATTTTTCTCTAAAACATTATGGAAATTTGGAAAAGTATAAACGAGATTAACCATTTTAGAACAATCAATTTTTTTATGAACATTGCATTTTTCTCAAAATGTCAATAATAAAAAAGTTTTTCCTACTGTAAAAACAATCCGCGGACACTCTGTATATTGATTGTTATTTCTACTAGATTACAGATCCTCAGATTTCAGAGTGCCAAGCAACAGCCTCTTCCTCACCATCAAAGAGGTAGAAGAAATCATCAAGCGCAGAGCCAAAGAGAAAGCCGCAAAGAAAAACATCAAACTGACCAGTTCCGAACTAGACATGCTGGTCGACAAAGCTACCATCCACATACCCAACCATATAGTTGGTAAAAGAGACATAAACCATGTTCTCTTGGAGGAAAAAGCGAATTTCTACAAGAACAACCAGTTCAGCCAGGAGCGTTTCGAGAAATTTGCCAGGAATCAAAAGAGTCCGCCTAAATTCAAGCTGATGAAGCGAGATATTAACTTGGATATGTTAAAGAAGAAAATTAAGAGTGAGGGTTCTTGGGGGAAGCCCAAACCGGTGACGCAGCCGGAGTTTTTGAGGAAGTATTGGGACGAACCGGAAGATACATTTAGAATGAAAGGTAATTTTGTTAGTATAAAGAATATAGCATATGTCTTTAATATGCTCACACTAAAATTGTATATTTTTAAATTGAATGCTATACAGGGGGTTGATTCCTCATATATTTTTTTGGACAAAAAGTTAATATAAACATGGGATTTAAAGTATTTCCTTTCTGATCTACAGGGCAGAAAAAATTTAAAAAATTGTAATTTAATGAAAAAATTTAATGGTACGCTACTGACTTTTTCAAAAAACATTTTTTTCCAAACGTCACAAAAGAATTAATTTTTCAGATGCGATTGACAATATAAAAAAGTCATTTTAACGCCTAAACATAAAAGTAAAGTACTTTGACGCCTAAGCATAAAAGTACGAAAATATATTATTTAGTTGACATAAAATGTCAAATTCAACGAGCGTAACTATAGTTTCTCGATAGATAATTACATACAAAGTATGACTTTTAAATATTTTTATATTATTTGGAACGTTTGGAATTGTTTAAAAACTTATTTGTGGCGTTTGAAAAAAAATAGCATGTTCTATTCGCAGTAAAAATGACTTTTGTACCTCGGCTGTATGTCGGATTCGCCAACGCTCGTCCGTCAAACATACGTACAACCTCGCCAAGAAAAGTGTCATTTTTACTCCTAATAAAACAATATACTATTTTCCTTGATTGTTAATATTTTTATCAAAATTATTCTCATGAGATTTTCTAGTACATGGAACGGTTTTCGAGAAAAAAATACATTGCACATCTCAAAATCGCTAGAAAACCAGCATACATGAACGTCAAGGCAGACATTTAGTTGATTTTTTTTTCTCGAAAACCATTCGAAGTACAAGAAAAACTCTTGAGATCAATTTTGTTTAAAAAGGATGAACAACCAAGAAAAAAAACATTTTCTTAAAAAAGCAGTGGCGTACCATTCATTTTAAACAAATAATTCAGTGCTGTGTGCATACGGATGCCACTGGATGGACACTTCAAATAAAAAAACAACAATTATTAAAAAAAACTGTTTCTATACTTGGGCACCATATTATACCAAAATTGACGAAAGCATCTAAAGTAGTTGCCCAGATATTGCAAGAAATTTTACTTTTTTCTAAATTTCTAACATCCTGTTGATCAGAAAGGAAGAACTTTAGACGCCATGTTGAAAATAACAACTGTGGCTCCAAGATAGAACCTAAATACTTTATTTCTGAGGGGTATCTCACAATTGGAATTACATGTACATTTTCTTGGCAGTCGCTGGCTCTCATTGGCAGTCTTACGGCAGTTGCCTATAATAATTACATGGCAGTCATAGGCAGTCGCTTGACAGTAAAATGATATTTTGGCAGTACATGTACATTTTTTACCCAAGTGAGAAACCCCTCGTTTATTTCAGTTACATATTCGATTTCTGAGTCATTTAATTTTATATTTATCCCAAGTTGTATATATTTTTGCAATTTGCTTTCGTACCTATAATCATAGGTACACTTTGTTTTAGTTTTATTTAACTTTAATTTATTTTGTCATAGCCAGTTGTAAAATATTTCTAATTTTTTGTTTAAAATGTTAGTTATTTCAATAAAATTATTTCCAGCAACACAAATTAAAGTATCATCAGAAAAAAGGTTTATGAACGATTTTTTTTAAAACGCTGTCTAAATCATTTATATAAATAATGAAAAGGAGCGGTCCCAGTACACTACCCTGAGGAACGCCCAATTCACTACTGACTTCACTAGAAATATTATATTCTAACTTAGTTCTATGGTATCTATCACTGACATAGTTCTTTATCCATTTCAAAAAATTAAGTGTCACTCCATAATTTCTTAATTGCGTAATTTCTTAATTAACGAATTATCAAACCACGATTAATCGTCTCAAATGCTTGCTGTAAGTCAACAAATACACTTAACACAATTTTATTGTTGTTTATATGATTTTTCTATGAAGAAGCTCTCTATATTGAAGAGCTGACTCACACGAATAACTTCTTTTCGATCATATTGTATTTTGCGTATCAGACATTTATTTAATCAACTTGTGTCAATTAAATTTTTTCTAATTCTAATTTTTTATTCTTTTTATTTTAGATCATTACAATGACGAATTGTTCAAAAATTCCATGGACTCAGATGAACTCACCATGGAAAACCTAGGAGTGGAAGAAGACATATTTCCAAACTTCGCCACATCAGACGAAGATTGGTACTACAAGAACCAATTCCAACCAAAACAGAAGCAAAAACCACAAAAACTCAACCTGGATATGGACAGAAGATGGATGCCAATAAGCATAAGAAACAGAAATGGCCCAAGCAAATTTTCTGAAGTTTATAGGGAAGAACTAGACATTGGAAAGGTGAAAAAAATAAAGCTACCGTGGTTCGAATCTCAAAAGAAAAATAAGTATCCTTGGGAGGATACATATGGATATAACGGACAAAAGAATCGTGATATGTCTGTTTTTGTAAGTACTCTCCTTTTGCTTTAAAAATGACACATTTCTGTTAGTTGATGCTAATATTATCATATCATATCATAATTTGTTTTCTAGCTTTACTCTTACTCATTGGTGTTAAATATAGGTATAGTACATCTAGATATCTAGATAGTACATCTTTTATGTAATGTCTATAATCAGTGGCGTAACTATCGATGTGCCGTGTGTGCGAAGCACACGGGCCCGGGCCCTCAGGGGGCCCGGGCCGCATTTCCATATCTATCACATGCTATCGCGAATCAAGCAGAATCGGGCGATCCTGAACTAGGTTCTTATCTATCACATGTCTTCTTAACTACTTAACTAGCACACGCTATCGCGAAAATAACTTATTTCTTGTGCAATTTTGTAGCTGTGTTTTCCTTTTTATTTTGCAAAATAAAAATAACTGGAAATATGTGATTTTTCATTAGAGCATTAAATTTGACAAAAAGGAAATTTGCTGTATTGTCACTGGATTTCTGTACCATCGAATAGAAATAGAACTAAGCTAGTTGGTTAGGTTAGGTTAAAATTATACTGGTCAACCTAGTTAACTCAAAATCACAAAAACTCTAGTTTCCTAATGGTTTGTATTAAGGGGAGGATAAGGCAGCTGAGTTACGAGAGGTGCCCAGAAACTGCCACAATTGCCATTTTTGGCAATTATTTCAATAGAAAATGAAGTTGCTCGTACAATAGACATTGGTAATATTGTGTCAACTTTCGCCCATGCTAAAGCAAGGAAAAACCAATTTTAACATGTCCATGTTTCTATTTACATTGTTTATTTTATTTTAGTTAGTTGTTCTTTTTATTTATTTTTTTATTTATTTGATATTTTATATATGTTTTTCGGTTGCATATTCTGTGTTGCAGTAATAAATAATACTATATAAAAATTAATTTGATAATGTTATTTCTAACCCAAAATATGAGTGCATATTATTCAGATTAGTATATAAGTATTGAAATATGTAGGTGTAATAGGGGCCCGGTAAAATTTTTTGCACCCAGGCCTACAGGCACACCATTTTTGTTACGCCACTGTCTATAAGTCTATACCGGGTGCGTCTCAAAAGTGGCTCAACCCTATAAAATTTTTTATTTGCAGATAAAAAAACAGGATTTGGTCTGTTAGTATAAGACAAAAATTAGGATTGATTGATGTATTCAATTGTTTTGGACACTTTCTGTTTCACCGGAAATGACTACAACTTCTGATTTTTAAACCACACCCTCGGTATTTTTCTACTTTATTCGATAGAAAATGGCATTCTGAATAGAATGACGTATCGTGATGTCAACTTTTTGACATTTTCGCTTAAAAAAATCGTATTTTAAATTTCAAGAGTGCCATGGCTGTGTTAAAAACACTAATTTTTAATCAAGGAGCCTTGGAAAAATGAATTTGAGCGTCTAATGTTTTTCGTGTCTTGTCCTAGCTGGTTAAAATATGCCTAAATCGTATTTTTAATCATATCTCAATTTTTTCAAATGGAACGAGGGTGGCTCATTAGCATATTTGAAAAAAAGCATTTTTTACGAATAATTTGGTACCACACACTTGGTATTTCGAGTCAAATTGTCGTTATGAACTGCGTGTTACAATTTCAAATACCATATGAGCAAATTCATTCTATTCAGAGTGTCATTTTCTATCGAATAAAATAAAAAAATCGAGTGTGCCATTTAAAATCAAAAGTTGTAGTCATTTCCGATGAAACAGGAAGTGATCAAAAACAATTGAATACGTCAATCAATATCAGCGTATTTTGTTTGTGATATACCGTGTTCTTTTTATATTTATATATTTTATATCTTTTTGTATTGTTTATATTTTTGCGTGTATTATTTTGTAATATCTGTTAAACGATGTGCTTGCCATACGATAAATAAATAAATAACGTCAATCAATCCTACTTTATGTCATATACTAACATACCAAATCTCGTTTTTTATCTGAAAAAATAAAAAAGTTATAAAAGGGTGAGCCACTTTTGAGGTGCGTCTCAAAAGTGAAAATTAATGTATTCAATTGTTTTTGGTCACTTCCTGTTTAACCGGAAATGACTACAACTTTTGATTTTTTAAACCACACACTCGGTATTTTTCTACTTTATTAGATAGAAAATGGCATCCTGAATAGAATGACGTATCATGTGTCAACTTTTTGACATTTTCGCTTAAAAAAATCGTATTTTAAATTTCAGTCTAGAGTGCCATGGCTGTGTTAAAAACACTAATTTTTAATCAAGGAGCCTTGGAAAAATTAATTTGATCGTCTAATGTTTTTCATGTCTTGTCCTGGCCGGTTAAAAGATGCCTTAATCATATTTTTAATCATATATAGTTCCTCTCACATCACTGTTTTCACATTTACATACAAATGTGTTCCATCGTACATACTACCTTACCGGTCCATATTATACATATAATATTTTACCGTATGAATGAAAAAAAAACGGCGTCAAAGACGGCTGGGGAATGACAATCGATAATAATTTTGGCGAGATTCATCTGTAGACGTTATTTACTAAAAAACAGACACACAAGTCTATTTAAAAAAAAAATTCTCGAATTTAAACTACACCATTTATAAATAATTTTTAATCATTATAAAAACAAATTACTACCTTCTTAAAGCTAACTGGCAGTAAACGCCATTAAAAAATAAAGTAGAGTACGGGCCAAGTAAATGACATCTCGGGTTTGACCTCGGCAAAAAAATTATTATCGATTGTCATTCCCCAGCCGTCTTTGACGCCTTTTTTCAATCGTATGGCAATTCTTTTGGATACTACATACCTGCATTTCATTATTTTGTTACACAACATAATATCTTCGTATCTCCAGTAATGTTCGATCGATGTAATGTTCAAATAAACCTTTCTTTATTGACATTGTATTGTCAAAACTTTCTTCCCCTCTTCTCAAGCATTGTCCTGTTCTGTTGTATCGAGCAACTTGGATTCGTATCTATCTATTCTCTATCGCTTTTTTTTATCTATATGCTACATTTCCTCTCCATTATTAGAACAGTTTTACCACTAAGCTACATTTTTATTTTGTTTTTTTAGAATGGGCTAGATGAGTTAAATTTTTATGATGATCTTGACTATGCCTTTGCTAGAAAAAGGAGGGCATTATTAAATACAATTGCCAAGGATGGTCCTATGAAATTTAAAAAGAACGACATAAAGAAACTAGGAAAACATACAATACAGAAAAACAAAGTCCCTTGCAAAAATTGTTTGAAAGAAAAAAAGCAGAAATCAAATGTTCAAGTCCTTTTGAACGACAAACATGATAAAAGGAATAAAACGCTTGATGATCTAATTGCTGAAGCTGACATTAATGAAAACACTATACCTCCACCACGATCAAAAAGATCTCTTTTAAACAACGAGTTGCCTTTCTTGTTTGGACAGTACAGACCTTTAACCTTAGACTTAAAACCTTGGCAACCTGTTGACGTGTTGACACTTGTAAAAGATCATCCTTCATTATTGCCTTTGTATGCTCTGATTCAGGAACAGAACTTGAAGAATAGTTTGATGCATCCTAGGTATTTTGAACTGAGAAGGAAAAGATTTATTGATCAGAAACGTTTAGATTCTTTGGAGAACTCTATTGCTCTTAAAACTGAGTCAAGAAAAGGTGTAACTGAAGAAAAAATTGAGTGGAATAAAAATAATGGAGTGACTGAAAAAAACGATGATGGTAAAGGAAACGTTGAATGGGAAATTGTTTCAGGAGACTTGAAAAAAGAAAATGTGAATAATGTTGAACAACAAACTGCTAATAAAAGAATAACGAAACTTAGTAATTTGGATAATGAGCCTGACGTAAATCAAAATATTCTTCAGAAGAATATAGATAAAAAGATAACGAATTTAGGAGAAGAAAATACAGAAATAGATGAGAAAACTACTGAAGATATCAGTGAAATTAAAAAATTATTACTTGATGATATAAGGAGAAAATTAGAAGAACGTTACAATCTCAGACATTTTATTTCAGAACAAGATGACGAACAAAAAGATGATAAGTATGATCAAGATGGTGAACTTTTGAAAAGTCGACACAATATTGAAGTAAACAACGAAGAGCAAACTGTTAGAAGAAATAAATACTTGGAAAGCAATAATGATCTATCTGGAGCAAAAGAAAATAGTATTTTTAAAGAAAAATATGAAAATACTAATGCTGATCCTTTAAACATTTTGCAGAAAGTTGTTAAAAAGAACATACTGAAAGCAGCTCGAGAAAATCTGATCGAAAAAGAAAAATTAATAGAATCGCAAATGAATGATCTTGAAGCTACGAGACAAACTACATTGAATGCTATAAAAAATGGTGTATTACGAAGAAATGATGTAAATAATAAGGATAATATAGTTTCTCGTATACCAACCTTTTTGGAAAAAGTTTTGGGACAAAGTAATGCAAAACCTATTGAAAATTTGATGGAGACTGTAAAGAAATCGATTAAGCAAATGAATGTTAATTTAAATAACTTTATTACTCGTTTATTTTAGCGTTTAGTTTTTTTATATTTTGTTTAATTAAATATACCTATAAAAAGTTAAATTGTCTCTTATTTAAATCCTTATTATCCATACATTATACAGGACGAGTCTTAAATAAGTGCAAATATTTTAATTTATTTAATTTTATACAATTTACAAGAAAGAAAATCCAGAAAAGATCCAGTGGTTCCTAAAATTTGAACAAAATATATATTTTTTTTGGATATTTTCAAAGTAAAATAACTCGAATATTTTGGATTTATTTGAAAAACGGTAAAGAGAAAATATGTTTCTTTTATTTAGATCTACCAGCCCTGAAAATATTTGCACTTATTTAAGACCCTGTATAAAAGCTCAAAATGTATTTTTGTGTGGTTCCTGAACTGACTACAACTTCAACAATTTCGATGCTTCTTTTTTTAAACAAAAGGTATTTTGGTATTCTCAGAGTGGAATATAAATCCTATACAGAGCGAATCTTAAATAAGTGCTAATATTTTCAGTGCTGGGTAGATCTCGATAAAATAAAAATATTTTCTTCTTACAAAATTTTAAATAAGTCCAAAATAACCGAGTTATTTTACTTTGAAAATTTCCAAAAAAATGATTTTCTGCTTACATTTTGAGAATTAAATTATCAATAAATTATGGATCTTAACTAAAAACTAAAAAAAATCAAAGAATTCCAAATTTTCATTTTTTTTTCGCGAAAAAACCTCATATCGTGTTTCTGGGGTCGAAATATACTACCGCTAAAATAATTGCACTTATTTAAGACTCACACTGTATATCAACGATTTAAATACGATATGTTCGAATAAAAACGGCGTCAGCGATGGCTATGAAATGAATATTGACGACATTTCCCATATAAATTTACATATAAAATGACAGCGATTTTCATTTCATAGCCATCGCTGACGCCGTTTTTTCGATCATACGGTACTACGGCATGACTAGTCTTACAGCACAATACAAGTCAGTGAGATAGAGGTAACATTTTACCTAGTTTGATTATAGTGTTTGTATCATATAATTTCTTAAAAATTTCAAGTTAGTGGATTAATAGCAATTGTAGGCATATTTCTTATCGATGAATGCTGATAAGATTAAAATAAACTTTATGTTTTATCTTTTTCTCTTTAGAAGGGATATGGTTTGTGTCATAGAATACTCATTACAGTATGTAATATCCTGTACTTTGATATTCTTTTCTTAATTTACTGAAATTATTTCTTTCCTGTAATGCAAAAATCTTGATAATATGGTGAAGGCTCATTTTTATCTTATTAGATATATATTTTATGTTTTAATACCTACTACGTATTATGCTTTGTGGTGTGGAGAATAAATATTAAGATATCTTAATACTTGCATATCCTTCCATTAGGAAAAATACTGTTTATAAATCATATATGCTAAGAAAATCACATAAATTAGGTGTAGTAAGTAAGTATAGAAAAATCTTAAGGTAGCAGAAAAAATAATGCAATATGTATAAGCAGAATTAAACAAGGTACCTATTAATATTGCTGATTCTATAGTTGATTCTACAGCAACCCTGATTATGAATAACGTAATTTTATATACAGACAAGAGTTATAACTACGGAGGCTAAAAGGCCTTTTCAAGGCCTACGTAGTTTTAACGGAATGTTATAAAACCTATTATGAACATGATATGGAGCTACAGCATTTAAAAATTTAAAAAAAGAGGGAACTTGGACACACCCCTTTTAATTTTCCGAATTTTTAATAAATCACTTTTTAAGCGTAGCATAATAATCTAGAGCAGTTAGATTAATATTATAGTAATCTAGAGTTTTATTTCTATTTAATTTTATTGATTATAAAAATACATAATAAGCGTTCACGAGTTGTTCGAAATATTAATAGTTATTTTTTATACAAGACGATAAAATGGTCGATCGTCGACCGAAAAGATTAATAATAATGCAATTTTATCGTCGTGTATAAAACAATATTTTTTTCCATAGCGAGTTACGTTTTAAAAAATATTCAGAAATTATTATTTTAAGGAATTTATTACGACTAGAAAAAATATTGTGCTGGGTTGGCGTTGGTTTATATGTTATTTGGCAAATAAATAAAGCTGTCTCTTTAGTTGTCAGTTTTGAGCACAGTTTTGAGTCAATATTTTTTAATTCTCTTTCGTGTCGATTGCTGATTGAATTGGTGCCAGAAATGGCTCAAAACGAAATAAGTAAATTACCAACAGGTATTCAGGCTGAGACGACAAACGCCATATCCAAACTACTTCCATTTAAATCCCGAATAACTTATGAAAAGGAATACAAATATTTTCATAAATGGAAGCAATTAAAAAACGTGTGAGAAGAAATAAAGATTTTAACCTATCATCGCTGTTAAAGTATCGTTTAATCTACCCTTGCGGTTAAAGTACTATTTTATCTACTATTTTTGATAGATATAAGGCAATTTTAACAGTTCCTATGGAAAAATATAAAAATATATGATTTATTTTATAATTAAAATATCTTAACAGTTATTTTCCACACCACAAAGCATAATATGTAGTATTAAGAATAAAAAATATTATAAAAAATATCTTAATATCCAATACGCTCAAAATTCAACCTTCACCATATTGTCAAGATTTTATTTTAGCATTAACAAATTTGGGTTGATACGAAACACCAGTTAATGAAAATCAACCCTCTTTGTACCTGGAAACCTCTATTGAGAAAAATATCTAAAGTAGTTTCCGAGACATTTATTGTTAGATTTTTAACACCCTGAAGATTAGACAGGGAGCACTTTAGATCCTTTGTTTATATGACCTTTTTTTCTTAAAAATGCATGAGCAATCATACCCTGTATTTTTTTAGACTATATGTAGATTTTTTTATTTATTTATCGTATGGCTCATATACATGCAAGAAAACCAGACACTTAAACATAGACATAAAATAAACTACAATGTAAATGAAAACATTACAATGTAAATATAAAAAAACAAGTATATTATAAAAAGACAACATAAAAAAACGTATTTACGAACACTATATATTAACATCTAGATGCCCTATCCCAGCTGATGGAGAAGCCTCCAGAAAGTCCCTCCAGTCTTCACCATAAGCGAGTAGGTTGCACTCTCTAGTTATGTGATGGATGGTTTGGTGAGGGGATCCGAAATCACATTCTGGGGAAGGTATTTTTCCCCACTTATAAAGGGAATCCGCACATCTTCCATGGCCAGAGCGTATCCTATTCAAAGTTGACTATGTTTTCCGGTTTAGATCGGTACCCGGTGTCTGGCAATAGTTATTTTTGAACCAGGACTATAGGTGCGCATCGGCCATTTCTCTCCATAACTGAAGCCACTGTTCTCGAGAATTGTAGTTACTGCTTTTTAGTTGTTCAGCTGTTCGCAAAGGTGGATTCCTCGACTTAAGTCTATTCACCTGTAAAGCAGGAAGTGTTTCATGAACAGGTAGCGTTGGGGTAGCTATTTTAACAAATTCTCTAGAAGAGTCTCGTTTCTGCGTAGATTTGGAGGTAATGTTACTCAGAACTGGAAGCTAGTAACTAGGGTGCATCTGATTGTCTCGTAATCAGCCGCATGGTGTTGTTCAGCTGTCTGTCTACGAGATTTGTGTGGTGGCTGTTCAACCACACGGGTGCACAATACTCTGCCACACTGAATACCAGACCAAGGGCGGAGATCCGAAGTGTTGTTGCTTTTGCACCCCAAGAAGTACTACAAAGTTTTTGTATAATGTTGTTTCGTGTTCTGATTTTCCCAGCAACATTTTCTAGGTGTTTTCGAAATGAGAATGTACGGTCTAGAGTAATCCCCAGATATTTTGGATATTTGTTATTACGCAGAGTGGTGGTCCAAACTGGACGCTTATTTCAGTATTCGCCAGCTTGTTATTAAGATGGAAGGTAGCCACTTCTGTCTTATTTGCACTGGGTTGAAGTCTCCATTTTACAAAATTTCCTATTTTTATGTGTAAAGTTACCTTTAGTTATTGTACGTGTGGGACGACCTTAAGATTGAGAGTCGTCTGTCAAAAAAAGATAAAAGAAGATGGCGGAACAATAAAGTAGTCAGTAATACGTCCGCTGTTTTAATACAAGTTTTTAATTGCAATAGTAATACCTCTGAGTAATACTATCAACGAAGAAATAGTTCAATCTTCAACAGCCGTTGTTAAGTTTTTTAGGTTTACTTGTGCTCTCTCCCTGAAATACTTGGATATATCGGTTACTTAGCATGTTGTTGCACATAATCTTGTTAAATGTGGTTTTTTAATTGATTTCAAGGCAAAATTAGTGAAATAAAAGTAAATATCTTGTAGAAGTTATATATTCTTGTTTTGGGGCTTGGAAATTGAATAAAAATTACAATACATAATTTGTACAGCACAGAATCATGTTAAATGAGGTTGTTTAATTGATTTCAAGACAAAATTGGTAAAATAAAAGCAAAAAATCTTAGCCATTATATTGACTCAGAAAATGTCTTGTAGTAGTTATAAACATAGGGGTATTACTGCCTTGTTTTATAATTTATAGATGTAATAAGTCTCTATTTAACTAAATATTACATTATTTAAAATATCGAACACCAAAGTTATATTAATTGAAGATTCTGAAGGCTACCGAACCACCACCATATTTTTGAATTTTATTTTAATTTATATGAGTTTAATAAGTCTGAAACTGCTTAATTAACTATATTTAATGATAATCTATAATTCCTTAATTATTCTAAAGCTTCGAAATCTTTTTTAAGGCAAAAATCTATTTTTTATGATATTAACAAATAGGGACATTGGGGTAATTAAAATGCGATATCTATGTGAATTTTGCTTTATTCGTTTAACATTTGGTGTCATTTTATTCGGAAAACACGTAGCTACATTTCCCTGGTAGTACTTTTGTCTCCAATGTAGCGTTATATTGCTAAATTTTCATTTAAACTTGACATTTGCATAATTAAATGTAATAAATAAAATTACTTAATTTTTCATCGGTAAAACAGAAGAAAAGCC